GCCCCAAGCACCTTGTGCTAAATGCAAATCAATGACATCACATACTGAAATGAATATTTAAATCAAGCAACTTCTCTTGTTGCAGCCAAAATTGGGAAACTCAATAAAACTCTACATGACAGAAAAATAATAGTTGTCATTTAAAAAAAAAATAAAATGGGCTGAGATGTGACAATGGGTTAGAATCCAAACCTGGGCCAAAAGATGAGAATTAGTACATGTACCACCAGGAACTTTCTGTTGTTTTTTAGGGTTGAAAATCACCCCTACATCAAGGGCATCTATGACGTCTCCACCTTGGCTGTTGAACGTTTTCGCTTCCTTCCATACCACATTGACACAATCTACCAGTGGAGTCCCAGTGGGCGACGTTTCCGCCATGCTTGCGATACGGTCCACAACTATGCGCGAGATATCATCAAGAAGCGCAAGGGAGCACTGAAAGAAGAGGCAGTCAACGGGCAAACAAGGCAGAGGAAATACATCGACTTCTTGGACATTCTGCTCTGCGCTAAAGTAAGAGAAGCAATTCTTTTCGCAGGGGCATGCAGGGTTGGTGGCTAGATGGCCCCGTTTCGTAAGAAGTTAAGGCAGAAACAACCGGCAGGAGCTCCAAGCTAAAACTTGTGCCCTCTGTGGCTGACTAACCACTGCCATTATTACCAGTATTTATCACAGACATCCACCTATAGACTACTGGCCTTCTCATCAACCCTGAATGTGCTACAGTACATTGCAATTGAAAGTTAACGCCAAAATGGGAAAATCTGTTCGCATTTTTTCTCTTCCCAGGGAATTCCTTTTCATTTCACAATTTCGGATCTGGACACGTATGTTTTATATGCGTGGCCGGGGTCTCCGAACTCGGACAAGGGGAACAGGGCCTTGAAACAGAAGACCGTACTCAGAACAAAAGACCAGGCTGCTGGGCATTACCGGCATTTTTTCACTCTCAAAAGTGGAGATAATCCAGCCTTGTTTTGAAACAGTATACCACGGTTTGGGGCATTTAGAGCAAGCAGATTACCACCGGGGACAAAAGCGCTCCACCACCGCAGCGGTGAACCACACAGCACCGCTGCATGCTAATCTGGCCCCTATTGAAAAGAGGTCAGCAGCACATTGAGCCAGGTTCGTGAACAAAAGAAAGTCTATAACACAGCACAATCTGGGCTCTTTTTACAAGGCTGCAGGCCTGGCTGAAATACTCAGGCGTCAATAGATTTTGTCTGTCAGGCTAGAGTGGTCACCAGACAGTCCTTATGTGTTTGTAAGTGTCCAGTAAATGAAGATAAAAATTTTTAAAGAATTTTGAAAACAGAAAAAAAATGATAAACATCCCGCCCCAGCATCATCAACTTTGATAACTGCCCCGGCAGGAAGTGGTTAATTCTGGAATATCCAGAAGATTACTTGAGGAAGACAGCATTAAAATTTCAAGGCAGTATGTTTCTCAGTTTTGGGCAAAATACATGTACAGTGCAACAGGTGAAATCAAAGCTGGCTATGGTGGAAGTCAGAGACCAGCAGCACTGAACACCAAACAGCTGAATTACAGTAGATTGCCTTTATAGTGCTATCAAGGGGACCTAAACAGAATTGAGCATTAGAACTACACAGCCTAGCATATAACCCACTTGGATGGACGCCCAACATGTCTACCACATACATATATGCACATGTACAGATACCTGTGTATGTATCCACATGTTGTCATGTACATGTATGTGAATTACATGTACGTTTGCATGTATTGGCAGATGTATGTACCTTAATTTTGGAATGAATGCCATGTATCCGGTTATCTCGACATTTT